TCAGATCCACTACCATGGAGCGCTTTATAGGTGGTAAGTAAGACCTTGAAGTGCACCCGACGATCAACAGGTAGCCAGCGCAGCTCAAGGAGGATTGGTGTTATATGGGCGAACCGTGGTGCGCCCATGATCACTCGCGCGGCCGCATTTGAAAACAATGTAATAGCAAGGGCAAAACTTACCAAATTACCCTACCATTTGATAGCTCAAAATCTAGATTTAGGGTCATCTAGAGTTTTTAAAAAACCAACCTTGATCACAGATCAGTATAACTTACATAACCATAGTATAAGAATATGCTACAACTGCCTGGGCTCACATTCAAGATATGCCATGAGAGTCACACAACTATCAAAAATAAATAAAATGACTAATAGCTTAATGTGAAAACCCAATATATATCTTTTGAGGGGGGGTTATCACAGCTTTGCTCCAAGTTTGGGGGAAAAAAAACTAATATTGGGCCTACAGATCACAATTAGTTTGAGTTGAAATGAAGAAGCAGAAAAGAGCAAAAATAATAAATATCTGGAGTGAGCTGAATTAAAAAGAGAGTAAGCCTCTCCATCCCAGCTATAGCCATCAAGCTCAATCTCCAGTGACCTTATGCCATCACGGTTTAATGTACAGTATCCCTCTGATACTGGGATTTCTACAGTTGGAGACTATCTTTCAGCACTGAAAGGCTATAAAAAGCCTGTGTTAATTGTATTGGGTCCTGAGACAAATTAATTATTGTTTTAATTAACAATTAATTAACAAATGCAAGCAAGAATACACCAACTGAACTGAATCATACTAGCAAAACAATGTTGAGCAGTTCACAAGGAATTCTTAACCTGTTCCCAAAAGCATTTTATCCAAAGTCTGGCTACCAGCTGTCCATAATCATACATACTGAGAGCAAACCACCAGGGTTGAACTATCACACAAAATACAGACATTCTTATGAGTCAAAGGTTAAAAAACAATAAATGCAACAACAGACTTAGTACATAAATCATAGCCAGGCAGAAATAAAAATGTGATGGAAAAAATCCCTGCTAAAATCTCGGAAATGCTTTCATCTATGAAAAAGCTTCCCCTGCCCCAACCTTTCCCCCACCCTTATATGGAGCTTAGATATGAATTCAGAGCCCTGCAGCTTTATTATTAAGATGGAAGGAAAGAATATGGGATGGGGGTAATATTGTTTTTTATTGTTTGTATATTGGTTTTTTTTAAAAAAAATTGTAAGCTGCCCAGAGTCACTGACAGCGACAGAGGGGCCATATAAATTTTATTAAATAAATATGACTATGAAGAACAGCTTTCTGCCTACCTTTGAGATGGCAGGTAAGCATATTTATTGAAAAAGCAAACCCGCAAGCCTAAATTCACCCTAGCAAGGAGACTGGTGGCATGGCTGCCACATAGAATGCAACCTGTGGTAATGTCAAGGTGGGAATTGGTGGCATAACGTATCCTCTTTCCTAAATAGAAAATCAAACACTAGTTTGTGCCATGAGCATGTGAGTGGGGCTGGGTAATTCCATGCATTTTCTACCTCTGCATCCACAAGACCACATATGCTCCAGCTAGTCAGCTGGAACATTCCTGTGTTTGTTTTATGACAGTTCAGGAGCAATATTTATTTACTGCCACAAAGATATCAATCAATCAGCCTCCTGAAAGACTGATAAGTTAATATTCCCTTTACATAAATAGCCTCTATTTGAAAAAGCTGCTATACTGAAAGCTCACACAAAGATGGCTTCAGTTCTTTCTTTTCTTTGCTTTGGTGCTGAATTATTTTAACAGCTTTATGGTTAACTTGGCCTGGCTCATCCCTATACAAATAGTTCTCATTTAGCAGCTGACTTATTTAATGACCATTTGGTAGTGAAAAATGTTACAACCAATCTATATATTTATGATCTTCACAGGCCTGTAAAGCAAAAGAAAACTGAAGTGAGATCATAAACATAGTCACAATTTCACTAAGTGACCATTTTCTTCAATGACCAAATTGCTAGTCCCAATTGTGGTAATTAAATAAGAACTACAGTACCTATACTTTAGCCATCCACCCTGATGTCCCTGAATTCCTGCACCATAAGCCTTATGGCCTCTCAGAGAAGACCCTCTATAACCTGATGCCAATCCACCCAAGCCTTTTGCACTATCTAGTCTGACCTTAATGGCACCCCAACAGAGGGCCACTCACGATCAATTTTTATTTCTATTACCTCAAATTTATGGTCTGTTCTGTTCTAGTCAGTCTTGGTGTGGTGCTAGGTACTGTCAGGCAGAAAGAGACAGGACCATACATTAAGTTTCAATTAAGAAGATTTATTGCACAAGCCTAAACTGGGAATTTAGTTAATTAACAGTAACCACTAAATTGGCGCTAGATAAGAGTCAACAGAATTCAAAGAGGGTTGGATTTGGAGCATTTTCAGACACCTAATGATTCTGGTCAGAAGCCTCTTCAGACTCCTACTCCAGGATCTTTTTCTCCTATAGGTAGTCAACTATCCAAAACTGCAATTCTTCAATATTGAATCAGGGGCTGAAAATCATTATTACAATGATTTGTAGATTTTGATTATTACTTTCCAGTCATAAGGATGAGAAGTTAAAAAAATATGCAATTTCCGGCCCCAGAAGAAAATAATTGCCACAATGGAAGTTATCACTTACACATAATGACGGAGGGCCATCATCTCTCAAGATCAACAGTGATAAAGGTTGCAATTTATTGAAATTTGTTTCCTGACAAAAAAAAATCCTATAGCATTGAACGGATTTATTGAATTCTTCACATACTTTCAACATACAGAACCTATGTGGCTTCATCCAATACAATTAAGAATGTATGCACGTGCACATGCATGCACGCACGCATACACACACACACATACACACACATGTGTGTGTGTGTGTGTAATGGATCATTGGAATTCTTTATTCCAGTTCAGTATACATTTCAAAAAAAAAATCGTATAAAATTACTGATCAGTTACTATGGTTTATGAAGCGATGGAAGCAGTCTGGATAATAGATTTGTAGTGATTCAACTCAGATATATATAAGGCAATGAAAATTGATACTTTTTAATAGAAGCAGTAAAAGGATTAATATTCCTAATTCAATGTCTAAACCGATACTACTGTACCACAAGATCATAAGAATACACAGTACTAAATATTATAAATAAGGTTTATTGTGCTCTGGGTTGCATCCAGAATCCTTCGCCACTTACCTAAGAGTTTACCACATTGAAATCAGAAGGTTTTGCATCTGAGTAGACATGAACAGGCTTAGAACTAGATCAAACAGAAGTCAACATGAAAGTTTATCTATAAAGATTGAATTGCTTCTAATGCAACTCATATGCAATTTAGTCTGGTTCTAAACTTGCAATTTTATGGCAAATTCTGTTAATATGAACAAATACCTCCCCACCCCCCTGCTCATGAGCACTTTCTGATAGGAGAGAAATGTTGCTGCTTTAAGTATTTTATATCTTTCTTATATTGTTTAAAAAATTAAATTACCCATGTCTTGTTTCTGTAACTATAAGATTTTCGCTGTTACATCTTGCTGATAAGGTCTATATTTTTCTGGCTAAAAAATTAAATGCACAGGAGCTGCTTCAGGATAAGCTTGAAATGAAATTCCATATTAAAAGCTTTGTAATTAGGGTAAGTGATTTCTTTCTAGGAATAAATTAAAAAGTAATAATATACAACACTACTAAAAATACTGAAGAACTGATCATTAGGCCAATCTTGTATGCAATATTATTAAAATTAACTCAATTTTTTTCAAAGAACACCCTGCTATATTATTTCCATATTCAGACTCTCATTAAGTTTATTCTCTTAAGGAATAGGGCTTGATAAAATGAAATTATTATTCAATAGTTTTTTTAACAGAGCTGATATATGGTACAACACAACTTCGCTTGCTAAGACTTATCTACCAGAAGGGATACAAAAATAATAATAAGGAAAAAAAATCAAAGTCCAAATTCATTTTCCAACTATCAGAAAATGTACTTTTGAAAATACAATATATGTATCTATTTGTTAATTATTATAAAATGTATTGTTTCTGAATTCAATGAAAATTATTTTTTCATATGTAAATATTTACAGGATTACCACCTAATCCTGCATATCCTTACCAAACTTATTCTTTAATATCTTCATGATTGAAATTGAGAATAGCAATATTACAATAAATCATCAATAGATTTTTCATACATTTTAAAAACAAAGGATAGGACTTACATCTAATACATATAATTAAAAACAATAACTTAATCATTTTTTTAAAAAATTACAACTTTGAAGAAAGTTCAATTTTTAATAATTATATTGTGTACTTGAGAGAATCCCTAAACAAATATGGTGTTAGGTGTTTCAAGATGATGCATGATTTCTGGGGCTAATAATTTCCCAGTTTGAATTTTTTTTACATTTAAATATAATGATAAAATGATTAAATATACCTAGAAATTATGTAAGGTACAATCAAAAATATAACATTGCTAATCTAATAAAAAAAATATACAAAATAGCAATTGAGTAATTGACATTTAAAGAAACTACCGATAGAGATATATCAAAATGCTAATATAAAATTAGCTCAACCTTTAACATATTATTAAATCCAACCTGATTATATTTCTGCGCTTTCCAATGTCAGTTACTTCTGTCAGAAAGTCTGAGCACTAGACAGGGAATTGCTTCTCACTTCTATTCTGTCTTTCATTATCTAAAATTGATCCATATTATCTTTAATAATTTATTTGAGGAGTTTTAGAAAGTAAACATACAAGAGAATTTTAATGTATAAATATCTTATCTTTAGCCTTTTTGCCTAGATAAGATAGATGATTGATAGACAGATAGACAGACAGACAGACAGACAGACAGAGGATTCAAAGTACTAAGCTGCTTCTAATGAAGATTTTAAAAAACATTTTGATAGTCTTGTTTCTATTTGTTTACCTGCATTCTGGAGAGTCTCTATATTTTGAGGCCTAGTAGCTAGTTCTGCAACTGTCTGGACAAATTGTGTTCGGGCTCTTTGATATTGCTCAAAGACTGCAAACAAAAAAGAAAGTAGAGTAAGTACATTTCAGCAAGACTGCTCTATACAAACAACTTTGGAAGCACATCCACAAAAAAAAGACATGTTATGTATCTTCCTTTGTTATGATCTTTGCATGAAAAACAATGATAAATTTTCAGAAATGTTACATGAAAAGGGAAGTGACACCTTAAAACTTAAAAATAAATGATGGCATGGAGATGGGCCAGAAGAAAAAAGATGCAGTATTTGCTTTATATAATTAAGTATTTGTTCTCTAAAATAATAAGATCCAGTAATGGAAGTCAAGGAGCACAGTAAAAACTGAGATTAAATATAATGAAGATCAAATCAGAGGCAAGAAGAATAACAGCTACTCAGAACTGACAATGAATTACTGAATAGCTTCTATCTTTTAGGATTTGTCAACAGTAAAGAAATCAGCAAACAAGAAATAACACTGTAGACTTGGTATGATTGCATTGGAGCTTTTAAAAAAGATATTCAGATGTCAGAATATGTCAAAACCTACAAAGAGCAGAACCATGCAGGCAATAGTTTCCCTGTGACAATCAACTGAAGAAATATTACACTTCAAAGTATCAGGGCAGAATATTAATATTTTGAACTTTTTTTGGAGAAACAAATCATCACATGACAAACAAAAGAACAAACAAATCATGACAACCAAAAGAACAAACAAATCAATCAATGAAAATTATGTCTCAATTTGTTCCATAAGTTTTCATTTATATCCATATGACTATGTTCCAATCATATCCTGGACTCATTATGCAGTATTTATTTCTCCTGAGAAGCCCATAATACTAAGAAAGATGGAAGGAAAGATAATAACCAGCAGCAAAGTAGACAGATTCAATTACAGCAGCAATGCGTTTACACTGTTGGAAGATCTATAGTACCAGGTTTGAATACAGAATAATAGAGTTGGAAGGGACCTAATCCTTTACCATTTCAGACAAGAGATTGTCCAGTGTCTTCTTAAAAGCCTCCAGTGATGAAGAGCCTACAACTTCTAAAGGCAAGCTGTTCCACTGGTTAATCGTTCTCAGTGATAGGAAGTTTCTCCTTGGTTTTAGGTTGTTCTCTCCTTGGTTAATTTCCATCCATTGTTTCTTGTCTTGCCTTCTGGTGCTTGGGAAAATAGGTTTTCTTTTGTGGCAGACCCTCAAATATTGGAATACTGCTATCAATGGACACAGATAATCCTAGAGCAGGCCTAACTATACAGTGGCTAGGAGTCAATGATGACACATAATAAATATATGTAAACATGTATTCACACATACATATATGAATATTATGAGATCATATATCATATCATATAACATATTCTATTTAAAACCTTTGGTGAGGACCATAAAATCTAGAAAAATGCCTCTTAGAGACCTCTATAATTTGCGCCCAAATTAGAATTTTTAATGTGCTAGAAGTGGAAGAGTGGCCCCAAAAAATCAATTCTTCACAAGTGAAAGATCATTGGAGAATTATAATACTGAGTATAATTTGATAAATTCAAATTTAGCTTTTGTCTTCGTGATCTCTTTGAGAACCACCATCCAGGACACAACCTGGCCTGGAAACAAATGGCATACCTCTGAAATATCTTACACTTATACACACCACACACAACACACGTACACATACACTTTTCAGGGTATTGTAACTCACTCGCTTAAAAAAAACCCAAAACCTAGTGAAATCAGGGAGTGCAGTCCACAAACGCTCCGTATTTAAATACCTTGCAAGACCTGTCTCTGACTCATCCTTCTGGCTGAGTCCCTCAAGTATGGTTTGGTGTGCCGGCTTTCGCGGTGCTTTCAGGATCTTTCGCCGCGCTCTTTCCTTACGCCTCTTCCCTCTTGAGATGTGGGCAGCGCCCCCCCGGACCAAACTTCTACAAGGCTCCTGCAGTTTGCAGCGCTCTCCTTGTCCTCGGAGCCTTTTCAGTTTGGGCTGCGGTGTGTATCCTTCTCCTTGGTAACCAAACGGAAGCAGGCGCCATCAAAGGGGCGGGAGAGAGAGAGAGAGAGAGGCTGCGGCCTGCGCCTCATTGTGACATCGCGACACCGCGCACCGGTTCTGTTCGGCGGCTGCGCCGGGCCCCGTTCGAGAGGTGCACGCGGGGCGATGGAAATTGGATGCAACGGCAGCGGCTGCCCCGAATCTTCCGAGGCTGGTTGGAGGCGCCGCGTGCACGCCTTGCTTGCCGCGCTCCTTTCTTAAGACGAGGCTCAAGATAGGGGTGAGGGCAGCAGTAATTCTGCTCCTTGAACATTCACCCATCTTCTTTCGGGGCAAGTCCCGGAGAATGCAAGCTTTATGCTGCTGAAACAATCAGCCCAAAAGGCTCCATTCCACTCAAAAGTGCGTCCAGCATTCCTCTGGTTGTGGTCTCGACTATTAAGTAGCTCTGTCTTCCAACTGATTCCACTTCTCGCAAAGCAGACGTTTTAAAGGATAATATCTTGGGAAGTGTTTGGGCAAATAATTCTTCTACGTGACAATTTGATTAAAAAAAAATAGCGGTTTGCATCATCTGGTCGATGTTCTGTCTTCGCTTATATTAAAATGTTCCCTAAGACGGCCACGGTTCCCAAGACCAAGAGTACTTGACCTGCGTTACTTCTAATAGACCGGGTTTGCACTCTATAATCGCTTTCAGCTCCGTTGAGATTTAACTACTCTTAAAATTTTAATTGTCAAGTTACATACAGTACAAACGTGCTTTTTGTTCGTTAGATTTATACCTTCCCTTTCTTCCAGTAGCTGAAAGAGCTGAAGTTACTCTCTTTCTCAGTGAAGTTCTCACAACCCAAAAGGTCACTGAGAATGACTGGACCAAATCACCCACTCCTATTCTGCCACTGTACCATGCTAGCTTAGCATGAGCCACCCAGCTTTAAGCTATTATTCTACAAAATAGCAGGATTTTTAAAAAGTGATTCTCTATGCCCCTCCTTCCTGCTAGTAATAAGAAATCCTTAATTCTCAGCATCCCTTCTAGTGCTTAGTGAATAATATTGTAATCAAGTTGAGTAGCATCTTTGGTCAGATTTTGGTTACCACAAGCACATCTCTTTTGCTACACTCTTCCTAGTGAAGGAAAGTCAAATATCTTTCCCTATTTGTAGCATATATGGAGATAATTACAAATATATTTTGAATAGAGATAAATAGGCACTTGGACTTTTTCCAATGTTACGGTAGACTGTAGAAGAGGAGATTTCTCAAACTCTCACTTTCTCACCACATTGCCTTTGAAGCCAATAAACCCTAATAATAAATGAAGAAATTTTCCTTTTGCTTTAGTTAATAGCTGAAATCCTATAGCTTAGGTTTTTTTTCTGGTTTAGACTAAACAAAAACAAGTTTCCTTTTACATTGTGCACCAACACGTGTATATCTTGCAAATTATCTTGGTTCCTTACCATACACAAATCAGGAATCAGCCAAGAACCTCACCGCAGGTTTCAGAATTGCTGGTGTTTAGATAAAATGCTCAATGACCATAACTGTCCCACTGTAATGTGAACTTATTTCCCAGGTTAAAATTTCTGCTTATCAAGCAAGCTGTTCTCTAACAGGACAGGATCTGTTAGGTTCTTAACTCAAGACTCACAGGGCTGGGGAAATTGGTTGAGCAGGATTAAGATAGGACTCCTCAAGAAAGAATAGAAGAGGGTAATCCAAATTCCCTTCATCCTTAATTCCTCATCCTGAAGCTACTAAATGTCTTCAGGCTTCATCTGCTGGTCTGAGGGTTTTAATTCCCATTGCTAGCAAATGCCAGTTATACTGGTATAGGAAAGCAAGGCACTAGGTCAGAACACTCAGATAAATTAACATTTTTAAAACATGTGTTCAAAAACTGCTTCATTATTTCCCTAATTCTTCTATTATCTCCCAATTACTAATAGTATTAGTAAGGGTATTTTTCTTAGGGAAAGATCTAAAATTGTGGCTGAATTTAATTGGCCAACAACAACCCACAGGAAAGAGAGCCCCACAGGGTGATTTTTCATGCTTTGGGCTTAATTCCTGTAACATAATGTTACCATATGTCATGCCATGCATTTTTTTATCACAAGCAGAGGTCACATTATGTGCATGATGCCACTTCCAAAAGGACCTTCACAGATTCTTTGTGGCAACAACTGGATTTGGCCAAGCAGCTGAAAGAAAAGATCTCAAAGGCAGGTTAAATAGGCATGGCAGAAAGCAATTCATGCCTGGAACAAGCCTATCTAAACTAAGACTCAATCATGAAGCATTTATTAATGCTTGTTATCTGCTTCATAGACATCATTCCAGTCAGACTAATGGTCAAATGATGCTGCAGTTGAAGATGGACTAAGTATGGAGTTATGCACTTCCTCCACTTTGTCATTTGCTTATTCAAATTATTCATTATTGTGTGTTATACTTGCATCTTGGATGTAATGCACATAAAGATTCTACCCCTTTTTAAATCCTTTATACCAGTCTCTGAACGCGTTGGTGAGATCCATTGGTAGAAGGCGGACTTGATCCTCAGTCTCTGGAAAAAGTTAAACATTTTAACCACTTCATTACGCCAGTTCTTCCTTCTAATTATAAAAACAGTATAAGGATGAATTGAATAAGGCTCTTATTATCTATTTCATCTGGACTGTGGATTTATAATCCAATATATATGAAAGTGTTGAGGGTATTCTAATCTGACATCAGATACTACATAGGACTTCAGAGCTGGGAACTTTTATCAGTCCCAACTAAAAGAAAAATTAAATTGAGAGCTGCCTCTTGACAAGTAAACCACCAGCATATTTCACTCTTACTTAGTCCATGGGTTAGTAGGTTTTCACGAAGTTAAAATCCAGCAGTGAGAGATCCTGTGGTTGGAAGTAAGATCCATGTTGCCCATCAGAAAAGGGGGGGGGGAAAAACTGGTCTCCTCTTTTTCCTTATGATAGACACACAAATATCTAGTTAGCATTTCACATGTACATTAAGCCTTCTTAAATATATTTAAAATGATGGGTCAACCTTTATTTCCATGCCCCCCTGAATGTACAAAAATGAAAGGGATACTGATTGGGCTCACATGGCCTAGGCCTAGACCTAGAGCATCTTGGTTTCCTTAATGTTACATAAACTACACGGGCTGAATGCATAAGCCAAGTCAAATCAACTACCTTATGGCTCACTGCAATGTGCAAACCCAGCCCAGAGGAACTAGTGCAGATTGGAGGTATTTTCCATTCTTCTTTATAGAATACCTAGGAGTCTCTTTCCTTCTCGATCTCTTGGTACCGGTACTGATATCTTTTCCTCCTTAAAAAGAAGCATTGCGTCTTTGGAATTGTCACATGTCAGGGCCAAACTAAGGGCGAAATATTCCAAGGAAAAGGAGGACAAAGTGGAAAGTGTTTTTCTCAGTAATGATGCTGCTTTAAAGTACCCATCTTATACAGAGTTAACCAGATATAAGGCCCGTAACCCACCGGCACTCAGAGGGTCAGGCAAGGTTTTGCATGTGAGTAAAACTCAAGTATGCGCAGTAGCGCAACTTGCAGCTCTAAATCAACGCCCTTGACTTTTCCCAGCGCTGAACCTGTGTCCGAGGAACTGCCTATTCCAACTGAACTATAAAGCTCTCGGCCACCAGACTTTCCAAGCCACAGTCTCCGAACCACCTGTAATTTCCTGCCAAGCGGGCCGACATAAGTCAAAACCGTCCTCTTAATATCGGGGCGGCCTACAGCACGGCGAGCGAAGTTTTCAGGAGGCTGGGACTTTCTGGGGAAGCGGCGAAAAGAGGCAGTGGGCGGCGTGGTGTCGCGTGGAAGATCTGCTTTCAGGCGATCGCTGAGGCTCAGGGCCTGAGAAAGAAGGAAAGAACCCCCCCCCCTCCAAAAAAGATCAAAGCATCACCCGGCCACTGTGTAGTTCGTGCGCACATCTAAATTCCAGTTCGGGGCTCCCTGGGAAATCTGCCTAGGATTTCGGAGGTAGCAATAAAAGTGCGCAATTTTTGTGCACGGTGCAGAGTTCCAGCTGTGCGCCGCGGACTCTCTCTGCTTCCTTAGAGACCAGAGAAAAGCGCCGTTCCCCGCCGTCCTCGACTCGAAATAGCCACAGAAAGGAGAACTTGAAGCAAGAAGCAGAACCAAATAACCTCCGCAACTGTCTCCTTCAAAGCCTTTTCTGTTCTGGGCTAATGACGCAGCGTAGTTACAATTTAAAGGCCCGCAGCCGCAAGGCTAGTGTATAACGTCACGCCTCAGTCTCTGTGACGGGGAGTGCGCATGCGCAGCTTTGTGGTTAACTTCGCTTCCCTCAGAATACGGCTCTACAATGCTAAGTCCCGAGCTCCCGCCAATTTAGAGTGTTTTTAGTTATTTGTTGTTGTTATTGTTGTTAGTTGCGAAGTCGTGTCCGACCCATCGCGACCAACTTTACCATCCTCTGGAGTCTATTTAAGCTCACGCCTACTACTTCAGTGACACCATCCAGCCACCTCATTCTCTGTCGTCCCCTTCTTCTTTTGCCCTCAGTCTTTCCCAGCATTAGGCTCCTCTCCAGTGAGTCCCTCCTTCTCATTAGGTGACCAAAGTATTTGAGTTTCATCTTCAGGATCTGGCTTTCTAAAGAGCAGTCAGGGTTGATCTCCTCTAGGACTGACCAGTTTAATCACCTTGCAGTCCAAGGGATTCACGGGAGCCCTCCATCAGCACCATAGTTCAAAGGCCTCAATTCTTTGGTGCTCAGCCTTCCTTATGATCCAACTTTCACAGCCATACATTGCAACTGGGAAAACCATAGCTGTGACTATACACCCTTTTGTTGGCAGGGTGATGTCTCTGCTTTTTAGTATGCTGTCTAGTTTGCCAGTTTTCCTCCCCAGGAACAAGCATCTTTTAATTTCTAGGCTGCTGTCTCCATCTGCAGTGATCTTGGAGCCCAGAAAAATAAAATCTGTCACTGC